TATTACAGTATACTATAAGCTTCCCTCCACACACATTTAAACTGTTTTCTGATTTTTTAACCACTAAGATGAACATCTTTGTGGCTAAATATTTAAGCACATCTATGATTAGTTCCTGATGATAAATTCTTAGATAATTGCTGATTTTGAAAAGTAAATTATTTTGAGTCTTTTGATCAGTACAGCTATTTCCTTACAGAAGCCATTCTGTCTATTGCAGTTTCAGGTGTAAAACCTCAACACACAAGTTGATAGTGTGTCTTCACCAAGTTTAGAAAGCTCTAAGGCTTTCTGGGTAGTGTAAGTATCTAAAGGGGTTGTTTATATTGATGAATTCACCGTGATCCAGTGATTCCTCTTCACTCAGAAACTGTTTTCTTTTTATGCAGTAAGAATAGATGAAACAATCAGGGGCAGATTTAATATTAACTATGAGAGACTGATTAACTTACTTATCTTCTAGTTAATGTATATTTATTTGCATAAAGAAATGGAACTGTCAGGCAGACTAGATATTTTAAGTCAATCTAGCCAGCTTATTTTCTTACTATGAATATGTCACTACAAGGGAAGCCAAAGTATTCAAAGCCTATTTGGCAAGCATGGAATCCAAACAGAGCAATTTAGTAGCTCTTTAGAATTGGAGTCCTCTCAGCTAGTATATCTTGAGGATGTCTCACCCACCATAAAGATATTTTTACCAAAGAACCACCATGTTCAAGTTAGCTTAGCTAAGATTCTCTCTCCCTGTAACAATAACTCGAATGGGCACAATTAATTATTATTTACTCTTTCATTCTTCTGATATAGTTCTTTCTTTAGATAGGTTAATACATTGACTTTTGGTCATTGTCATATCTTAAAGACTAGAGAACCATTCTGTCTCTTTAAGGCTTAAAGTCTCATATCTCTATTTTAGTCCATTATTTTGGTTTGATGGCTTAATTTTAAGATATTTTTGAGTTTTGGAATGGTTAATAGACTATCACTAACATCTCTCCCTCCTCTTCCTTTCCAATCACGCTCAAAGTTCTCACCTTTAACTACATGCAAACACAATTCCTTTCCTTTTATGCATTTCTTAAAATATCTTCAGTTATTTGTATTAGCCAGGATCACCTTTCAACCCATTTTGTTGATGAGAGTTAGTATGGCAGTTCACCTGTCTCTGGCATATTTGGCATTAATTTTAAATAGGTCTGTTATTTCAGCAAGCAATTCCTTTATTTCACCTTTTAAGATGCTTAACTGAATCTGGTAATTATTACATGTTTGTTAATTTGGTTTAGAATATCCTGTGGATTTATAATTATTTTATCTTTCACATATATCAAAGAATGTGACCTTTCAATTTGATCTTCCCTCAACCTTATGTTAAATCTCTCAAATTCATGTTAAAAGGTGATTTTTAAAAACATATTACCATTGTAAAAAGGATAATTTGGTTGTCATGTTTTCCTAGGAACAAGTAGTAAAACAGTACTAGAGAAGCAAATATTTGTTATTTTATCATAGCAGAAAATCAGGATTTGTACTTTAATGAATTAATGAAACAGCTTCAGATGTAAAGCCTCACTACACAAGTAACATTCATTCTGAAAATAAATTGCATGGGTATCCAGAGTTGTATTCATCCTATACTGTCATGTTGACTACTTACTGCCTTTTCTTGGTAGTTGCCATTATTGGTTGGAGTAACCTATCGCCCTTAAAGCAGTCAGCTCTCTATCTGACCTCTTTGTTTATCCAGTCTCAAGAAATAACTGTTTCACTGGGTTAAAACCAGACTTTGGGGCCGGCTCGTGGCTCACTTGGGAGAGTGCAGTGCTGATAACACCAAGGCCCCGGGTTCGGATCCGATAAAGGGTTGGACGGATCGCTCACTGGGTGAGCGTGGTGCTGACAACACCAAGTCAAGGGTTAAGATCCCCTTCCCGGTCATTTTTTAAAAAAAAAAAAAAATTAAAATAAAAATAGTCCTTAGGGCCCCCATTCCCCCGGGGGGGGGGGGGTGCTGACAACCCCAAGTAAGGGGTAAAAACCCCCTTCCGGGTCTTTTTTTAAAAAAAAAAAAAAATTAAAATAAAAATAGTCCTTAGGGCCCCCATTCCCCCGGGGGGGGGGGGGTGCGGAAAACCCCAAGTCAAGGGTTAAGATCCCCTTACCGGTCATCTTTTAAAAAAAAAAAAAAAAAAAACCAGACTTCGATCTAATTAGGCTAAAAGCCATTTGTTTGCAAATAGGACCTTCAATACGGGCAAAACTGCTAGCTTGCTAATCCTTTCAGATAAACACATGTTCCAGTAGACACTGAAGTGATCTTTTATTTAGTGGAACTGCTGCTTTACCCATTAGATTTTCGTGCTGTTTTCCTGTTCCAAGGTACAAAAACAGACATTATATGTTATTGGGTTAAGAAGTCTTTAAAAAGGCAAACAAGTTCAAGCAAAGGGAAAGTATAAAACAGGTAAAATGCTGTGAGGAGAGTATATTAGTCAGTTTTCTGTTGCTTATAACAATACCTAAAACTGGGTAATGTATGGCCGGCCCGGTGGCGCACTGGAGAGTGTGCCGCTTGGGAGCGCAGTGGCGCTCCCGCCGATGGTTCGGATCCCCTGTGGAGACCAGTTCCCGCTCACTGGCTGAGCGCGGTGCGGGCGCAACACCAAGGGGTGCGATCCCGTTGCCGGTCCCCGGTGCGGGCGTGACACCGAGGGTTGCGATCCTGTTACTGGTCAGTAAAAAAAAAAGACAAAAAGGAAAAAACAAAACAAAAAAAAAAAAAACTGGGTAATGTATGAAGACAACGAAATTTATTTCTTACAGTTTTGGAGGCTGGGAATTCCAAGGTCCAGGGAACACATCTGGTGAGGGCCTTCTTCTGGGTGGTGACCCTCTACAGCAATGCAGGGTATCATATAGCAAGAGAATAGCCTGAGCAAGAATGCTAACCTTCTCACTTGCTCTCCTTATGCCCACCCATGATAACTGATTTCTTCATGAATGGATTAATCCACTTATGAGGGTACAATCCTTATGATCCAAACACCTCTTGAAGTCCTCCCTTCAAGTACCATAATTAGATTTCCCACCCTCTTAACACTGTTACAGTGGAGATCAAGTTTCCAGTACATGAACTTTTGGCGGACACATTTGACCCATACAAGAAAGTATAAAACAAAATGCTATATCATTATTACTCTGTGTTTTATATTAAAACAATTAGAAGTGATTTAACTCCAATGTTCAGCAGGGTTTTTTTGATCGATCAATAAATAAGGACTGTCACATGGTTTTGTCTTAGAGGTATTTTAAGTGTGATTTTAGAAAATGATACTTCTATGGAAAGAATGATAAATGAGTCAGTAGCTGTCCTACTAAAGTATCTGGTGCTGTACTCTCTTTTTAAAAAATATTTTTGTTTTGGAATTATTTAGAAAATAGTATTACTGATAACATTTGAGTTCTTCTGTTAATATTTTACTACATACTAGGTTCGGGTTCCTAGAAGTAATTTTTGTTACATGTATGAACAAAATTCTTTTTTATAATGTGTATTTCTGATTCTATAATAGAAAAAGTATGAATGGCATGGAATAGGTGAATAATTAACTTTGTTGAAATAGCTCTGAGTAAATATAGCTAGAATAGAGGAGCTCCGTTAAGAGAGATACCAATATCACTTATTATGGTTTTTTTTTCTGGCATAATTGTGTAATATTACACTGACTAAAAGTATGGAATCAGTGTTCTGATGTGGGTTTTTTTCTCTTTATATTTAAGTAAGAGAAGAGGGGAGTATTGGCATTTTTCTTTATAAGACTTAACTTGTAGCAACTATAATATGTAATTACAAGACTGTTTAATTAGATTATATTTGTGAAAAAATTTAAAAGCCAAAGAATTTTAAAATTCCAAAACTATCTATTGAGCCTTATGAACAAAAAAGTCTTGGTTATGCTTATAGTTTTTATATTTCTGTCTTAAATTTAAGAGAAATAAAAATAGAAACAAAATAAGAGAAGCCAGTGATTAATATAAATGTTAGGATTCTCTTAGCAGGCTTAAAAGGTTTTTCCATTCTGAAAATAGCCTATGCTTATTATTGGTTTGAAAATCTTTTTTTTTTTTCCTTTTTGTCTTTTTTCGTGACCGGTAACAGGATCACAACCCTCAGTGTCACGTACCGCGACCAGCAACGGGATCGCAACCCTCGGTGTCGCGCCTGCACCGCGCTCAACCAGTGAGCGGACCGGTCTCTATATGGGATCCGAACCCTCGTCGCACTCTACCTAGTGCGCCACTGGGCCGGCCCTGAAAATCTTAATGATAGTAATGGGGGAGCCACACCATTCAGAGACAACCATCATTAGCATTTTGGTATATTCTTTCCAGACACATTTTGTTACATAGTATTGAATGTCCTTTATGTACAATTTTTCACCTTGCTTTTTTCCTTTAACATTTTTTTGTTATAAAAACTCTGTTAGCATTTTTAGTGACCGCCTAACATTTTGAGTTGGATTGCCTTAATTTATTTAACTTTATATTTAAAAAATTAATTTCTGAACAAATACATACACTCCTTTATAGCCTAGATTATACTATGAATTCTTTTTTAAAGCTAGAAATCTGATGAGAAAGCATCATTATCCTACAGTTAGAAGAAGTGCATTATCTTATACTGTGTATCTAAATTGCTACAAAACTACATTTGAAAATCATCCTTAATATTACTAGGGTTCCAGTCGAGTTGGATAGGATCTTTGCACTGCTACACAATTTTTAAGTCAAGGCTCATAGAAAAAATTACTCAGAAGTTTTCTGTGGAATAATGATGTCACCAACTCCCCTGTAAATATTTTCAAAGTAATTGCCAGCCTGTACTATTTGGCACATGCACAGAGAATAAACCTAACTATTATAGTGTGTGGTTTGTTTTTAGGGTTTTAAACACTTTTGAGTATATTTTATTATTTATTACTATTTGTGCATTTTAGGTCCACTGGGTATTCTGAAGTGATAGTTGTTGTTGGAGGCTGTGAACGAGTTGGAGGATTTAATCTTCCATACACAGAGTGTTATGATCCTGTAACAGGAGAATGGAAGTCTTTGGCTAAGCTTCCAGAATTTACCAAATCAGAGTATGCGGTCTGTGCTCTAAGGAATGACATTCTTGTATCAGGTAAATAAAAAATTATTACAAGTAGCTACTTTTAATTTGGACACAGCTTGGTTGTTTTAAACAATAACAATGTCTTAAAAGGAAATAGTGAAATGTGAATATGCTCACTTTAGGCAGATGAGTTTATAAAACAAATGAAACCAAGAATAACTTTTTACTCTTAAAAATAGGCACAAAATAATACAGAATGATTTACAAAAGATTCACCAAAAAAATACCTTTAATCATATCATATTTTAAATGCTCTCAAGCACATATAGAATATGGTGTTGTTTTTTAAACTTTTATGTCTCTACTTTGTTTTAAGAAACACAGTAAAGAATGCAAAGTCAGAAGTACTCATAGAATTAAGCATCTCTAATTCACCCATGTTTTCTGAAATCCTCTCCATAGTTTATGAAATAAGATTTTCTTTAAAATTCTTAACTTAAACTTCTTTATGGTATGTGATATGTTACCTCTAAAATCAGACAGACATAAAATGACAGACTTATACAAGGGAACTTCAAAAAGTTAGTGGAAAAATAGAATTAAAAGAGAATATTAATATTTCTATGAACTTTTTGAATTATCTTCGTGTAAATTATAGCTATAGGATCCATGGTTAGAAGTCTATTAATTGGTAAAATAATTTTATCAGCTTTAAAGATTATTATATTACTACCTATTGAACAATATAACAACACATACTTTACTTGTACAATAGTATGCTTTTTAAAAAATACGTGATTTTTAAAATTCTTTTTAGAATAATTCTGTTGTTTGAGTGCTTCTGATGTCCTAAATTAACAATCTTATACATTTGTAAAATGCACATTCTGTATTTTATTATTTTGGGACTACACTTATTACTTCTCAAGATAACAATTGGCAAAGTTTAAATCTGCTCTGTAAAACTATTTCCATTGAACTTTAAAAGGGACCTTGCTGAATTCTCAAATTCTTGAATTGAGTGAATAAATCACAAGTTTTCATGACCTATGCCCTTGGTGATAGACATGGTGATATGTTATTGTATGTGCGTTGTTTTACATTTAAAGGTGGAAGAATCAACAGCCGTGATGTCTGGATTTATAACTCACAGTTAAATATTTGGATCAGAGTTGCCTCTCTAAATAAAGGCAGATGGCGTCACAAAATGGCTGTCCTCCTTGGTAAAGTAAGAGAAACCACTTTTTATTACTAGTGCTGGTACATTTCCAAAATAAATACCACAGCTGAATCCTTCAGTTTGCTCTCCCTCTGGGTATTTTGGATTCAGATTGTATTTCCTTCCATTTCTAACCTCAATAGATAAACTGAAGATATAAACAATATGACACTGTACTTTTGAATGGATATTTTGTTCTCCCAATTTGGAATTCATGGCAGTGCAGCACATTTCTGTTCTTATGCACCACTAGAGTTCAAATGCCTAAGAAACATTGGAAAATAAAGGAGTTACATCAAATACAAAAGCGGGCCAATGTCTAATCCAAGCAATTTTTTTCTTTTACTGACTTTAGCAGTCACAGATATATTAACTAAAGTGATGTTATTTCATCTTTTTTATTTGTACAAATGAGACAAAACAATTTAAAAATAAGTATTAAGATAAACTCACCAACATATTTTAAAGAAAATGTATTGTTGACTTCAGCTAATGAATATTAAAAATATATATAATTTGGGTTCTGAACCATATTCTGTCCTTAGGAACTTGAGAATCACCTGTGGACTAATGGTTTCCAAACTTTTTAAAAGCATCTGTACCCTCTTTTTTAAAGTTAAGTCACATATAAAAATTCATTACACGAAACAGATAAAAACACAGCAGTTGTACCAAGGAGTAACTTGAAGACTTTAGCCTCTCCTTGCCCCTATGTCTGTCAGTTCCTCCAAAGCTACCTCAGATTAATGAGCAATCTAAGTAAAAGCAGCATACTTTCTTGTGCATATACCTTTGACTGGTCCCCTAGCACCCTTTTTAAAAGGATTGCTGCCTCTTAGGCCCTCCTATGGAGACATTTCAGAGCCACCAATGAAAAATAGAACTCTGATTAAAACAGAGATGATGGCCCGGAACCCTTCCCACTCAGCCCCTCATCAGTCCTCCTCTCCCTATTTCCCCACAGAGACTTCTACTATAGAATAATAGAGCTTCTCAAAACACAGTTATAAAGCTATTGTTAATTCCTAAGGACCTTGATCTAGTGTGCTGCTGCTGTTGACAAGGCCAGTGAAATAATGAGGACCTTGAGAAAGATATACTGGAAGTAGAATATTAATAGAATCTTTTCTAAAACCATTGGTTTGTCAGTGCCTGTTATATATAGTTTGGTAGCTATTCCTCAAGAACGACAAAATATGACTGAAAAGAGGGGTTAAAATAATCAAGAGATTGGAAAGAGATGAGGTCTCACTGAAAAAATTAAAATTATTTAGTCTAGGGCTGGCCCGGTGGCGCACTGCTACAGTGCGCCGCTTGGGAGCACGGCGGCGCTCCCGCCGAGGGTTCGGATCCCACATACAGACTGGTTCCCGCTCACTGGCTGAGTGAGGGGCGGGCGCAGCACCGAGGGTTGCAATCCCGTTGCCAGTCCCGGTCCGGTACGGGCGCGACACTGAGGGTTGCGATCCGTTGCCGGACACGAAAAAAGACAAAAAGGAAAAAAATAATAATAAAATTATTTAGTCTAGACATACAAAGGCAAATGAGAATGATCGTTGTTTCTAAAACCATATATGTATTGCTGAACTCAAATTTATTTGACAAATATTAGTATACTTGACTTGAAGTACCCAAAGCTTGGAAGCACTAAATCAAGAAATGAAACAAATAATTCCTGTCTTACACAGCAAGTACTCAATTCATGAAAACCATTATCCTAAAAATTACAATATAGACTAAATTCAAACCTATAAAATTATTTAAATTTATAAATACTCTCTGTTAAAGAAACCTAGGATGTTTTGGAATATAGAATCTTAGAGCAGGAAGGTATCGTAAAGAATATTTAGTGTAACTTTGTCAGTTTATAAAGAAACTAAATCCCAAAGAGTTCAAGTCACTTGCCCAAGGTTACACCGAAAGTGATAAAGAACAGGCAAAAGCTCAAATTTACTTAATCTAGAGGCCTTTTATCTTGATGTTTACAGCATATATTTTTAATTTACACATGTAGGGCTGTGTATTAAAGTTTAATTATCAAAATTATATTATGTGATAAGTACTATTATTGTTAACATTTTTAAATTAGGGGAATAAATACTGAGTCTTCAAGAGAATAGATAAACTACCCTTACATTGGTGGCAGAGCTAGATATGAACCCACCTGTCCTGACTTCGGAGCCTATGCCCTTAACTGCTGTATTGTGCTTGCCACAGATTCCATACACCTTATAGCTGCATGGCCTTCTGTAAGTTACTTAACATCTCTGAGATACATGGTGTTGGGGGCACAAACCCACCAATAGATCATTGTAACATAATGTGAGAAATGCATAATAGAAGTGGCACTGACTATTGGGGAAATTTGGAGAAGCACAGAAAGAAAAATTGTGGACAGATTTGAATAACCGGGTATGAAGTTTGGCCTTGACCCTTATGCATTCATTGCTGAACTTTTATTTGTTTTTCTTTTTTTTTTTTTTTCACTGCTGAACTTTTCAAAGGAATTGATTAAGTATTTTAGGAAGATTAATTAGGGAGCACAAGAGTGGAAATCAGGAGCTTATTTGAGAGGTGTGAAATGATGTGGCCCCTGAGGCAGGATGGGGGCAGTGGAAAACAGAAGGATGGGATAGATATGAGAGATGCTGTGGAAGAAGACTCAGTAGGACTTAACAGTTAATTAGATATGGAGGGAGGAGTTGATGACTATCCTTTAAAAGAAATGTGGATGTTAAGCTGGAGAGCTTTGTTAGGTAAAAACTTTCTTATATGAGGGTACTTCAAAAAGTTCATGGAAAGATTCATATTACCTTTTAATTCTGTTTTCCATGAACTTTTTGATGTACCTTCATATATCCCAAGATGCTCAATGGATTATTCTGCATATAAGCCATTTAATAAATGTCTTATTGATTGGTTTACCTGTCATATAAATATATTAATTTTCCCTGGCTTCCTCATGTTTGTCAAAAGAAAATGTAAATGAAAGTTCTTTGAAATGTAACATAAAGTTCATTTTGTTAGTACTTATTTCTTCATCCATGAGTATGAGCATTTATGCTAAACCATGCAATTCTAAGCATGAGCAATATTACTCCCAAAGAGATGGTGAAGATTGGTTCTTGTGGGGGGGGGGAATCATACTCTTTTATGTATAAAGCACAGATATACATATAGTAAGGTAAATAGATATACAATATATCTGTGGTTTTAAAATTTCATGGTGGGGAGGGGCTATCAGGGAGAAAATGTCTAAAAAGGCTCCCTGGTGGTGGTAGGAAGGTGAGAATTTTTTAAAGACTCCGAAACTCTGAGCTAAATATATTGCAATTATAGTTATCAAGAGCTTTTTAAAGAGAGAGATCCCTTAATTCTTTAACCAACCAGTTCAAATTGAGACCTTTGATAATTAAGATTTTTCCATGTATTTTACATATAGGTATATGTTGTTGGAGGCTATGATGGGCAAAACAGACTTAGCAGCGTAGAATGTTATGATTCCTTTTCAAATCGATGGACTGAAGTTGCTCCCCTTAAGGAAGCAGTGAGTTCTCCTGCAGTGACTAGCTGTGTAGGCAAATTGTTTGTGATCGGTGGAGGACCTGATGACAATACTTGTTCCGATAAGGTAAGCCACTTTCTCTTAAAGAAACTACCAATCATATATACAAGAAGTGAAATGCAGAAGGCTTTTCAAGTAAGTAGCTAGGTGGCTTAGTATGAGGGATCTTTTAAAAATTGTCTGGTACCTTATACTGTTGAATTAAAACATTGAATTTTGAGTTGCTAAAGTGGGATCCTAATATATCTAACAATTTGCTGTTAACAACTATGATCCAATCTTCTTGAAATGAGATAAATTTCAGTGTCAAAATTTTGTTATAAATGAATTGTTCTAAGCATTTTACTGCTATCATCTATAGAATCTAAAAATTATTCACACAGAACACAGGAAGTGAATTAACAAAGGATAATACACAGTAACTAATTTTACTGCTTCCAATTGGGTCATTTTCTGCATACTTCAAAAGTTTTTTTTTTTTTTTTGGGTGGCTGGCTGGTACTGGGATGCAAACCTTTGACCTTGGTGTTATAACACCATGCTCTAACCAACTGAGCTAACTGGCTAGCCCTAAAGTACTTTTTAGGACAAAGGAGAGGAAAGGAAACTTCTGTGTTGTAAATAGAGGATGGCTCAAAGTTGCTGCAGTTCGTTGAACTCCCAGAGAGAACATGTGTAGTCCTGACATTGCAGGAAATACTGTGTTTATTTTGGAAAAAAGTGTCTAATTGGTTGAGCTATTTTAGTTAAAACAGTTAAATTTTATCAATCAATTAATTCTTTTTTGAAATTAAATTTTAATATAATGTGGTCAAATGTTACTTATTTAGAATTCATTAATTCAGAATGTATGATCATTCAAAGTATACTGAACTGAGGTTTTACTTGTGTTCTTTTGAAGAAAGGATTCCCTAAAAGTATAAAGAAATTATACTCACATTGAAGCATAGTTATCCTACAAAACACAATTTTTAAAAATTTAGACTGTTAATTTTATAGAAAATAAGTGAAGCAAACCTGGTGGCCATTCATTCTGGAAACAATCTGCATGTTTCTTACTCTATTCTGCCTAATAGTAATAAATTTGCATTTATTTTGAAAATTTCCATAGTTTAGACATTTCACTATCAGATTAACCTCCCTTAATTCTCTGAATTAATGGTATTTGATTTTTAATCATGTTTCTATGTATTGATAGACTTTATTAAGTAAATTTACATTTTTGTTTAGAAATTTTAACTGAATATTTCTATATATTCTTAGGTTCAATCTTATGATCCAGAAACCAATTCTTGGCTACTTCGTGCAGCTATACCAATTGCCAAGAGGTGTATAACAGCTGTATCCTTAAACAACCTGATATACGTTGCTGGTGGACTCACCAAGGCAATATACTGTTATGATCCAGTTGAAGATTACTGGATGCATGTACAGAATACATTCAGCCGACAGGTAATAACATAAAACAGTGCAAAAGAAAAAGAAATATAAAAGGGACCAAGTACACAATCATCATTAATACACTGGAATTTCACTTTTAAAATATTTTCATGTATGTTTGAAGTATTTCATAATTTTTTAAAAAACTCCACATAAAGCGTGTGGTATACTTGTTTTGAACTCCTTTCAAGGAAGGAGTTTTATTGAAGTAACTTCCTTTCTACCATTCCATGCACTTGTATCCTTTGTACTTGGGCTGGGTTTTTTTTTTTTTTTTTTTCTTTTACTTTTCTCAGAATTCTACTCAAGTTCTTCTCCCCTCTCTTATTTCAGAAGAGAAGAAATGTTCCCAAACTTGTTGCTTCTCTGGTTAGAGGCTAGAGAATTTGTTGTTTTTGTTATAAAGGAAATAGTTGTGCTTAGGTCTGTTTCATCCACACACTCCACCTGGAACTCCACTCCTCCCTGGCCCCTGCTGCCCCCAAAGCCTTCCCTCAGCCTTTTGGTTCATAACACTACTCTTTCTTCCACCACCAAAATGCCTGATGGTTCTGATGCTGGAAATCTTGCTCTACTCATACCTATCTAGAGATGGTGTACTCTCAAAAAAAAAAGTCACTATTAATAATCTCCTCAGTCTCATTCATATTCTCTTATTTTTCCTACCCAATCTTTACCTATGAGTGTTCCTTGAGCCTCTTTCTCCTGCCCTCTTCCAAGTTTATACTCTATTCCTGAATGATCTCATCTGCTACGCAGTACTGATGACTTCAGGTCCTTATCTCCATCAGAGCCTCTCCCCTGTGGTCCAAACTCAGACTTCCCACTGCATATTTGATATTTTCCATGAGTATTCTAAGACTTCAAACTCAAAGTAGAGCTCAGCTTCTTTTCCATACCTACTTTTTCTATGTTTCAAACAACATAGAAACTTAATGTATTAGATTGTCCTCACTTTCTCTTAAATTGAATCAATCCAGCATATCAGTCTGTGTTTTCAGAGTTTCTCCTATCTTTTTCATTCCTATTGTTACTACTTTTGTTCAAGTTCTTATCATTTCTTACCTAAACAAAAGCAATAATAATTTAGTCTTCCTTATTCTGCTTTGCCTCTCTAATGCATTTTACCACCAGTTATTTCCCAGAAATCTAATTATGTCTCTCCCCTGATTAGAAACCTACTGAATAAAATGCAAAAGTTTTACCATTTCATTCTAGACTTTCTGTTGTCTGATCTTGCTTGCCCTTTCAGCTTCACTTTCTGTAACTTTACCCCAATTACATTAAATATCTGTTACTGGTATTCTCTAAACAGATTATATGTGTTCTTGCCTTGGTTCATACTGTCCCCTTAGCCTCTGATGCCTTTTTTACCTTCCCTACTTGTAATTCTACTAATCTTTTAAGGACCACTTCATAGTTACAATGAACAGGTTACCTTGGCCAGAATTGTTTTCTTTTTTTCTTTGTGATCTGTTACAGCACTTACACTTCTGTTACAGCAATGGTATATTTACTTATGGGTATAAATGTTTATATCCTATACTGGAATTAAGTCTTATTTTGGGCGGGTGCTGGCCAGTATGGGGATCCAAGCCGAATTCAGTCTTCTTGATGATACTGTTTGTTCTAACTCATCTCTTATGTTTCTTGCATTTAATTTGTGCTCAGTAAATATTTATCAAATAAGTAAACAAATGAAGTGAAGTAACAGAGGGTTCTAATTTTAATTGTTTTATTCATGATACATAAAAGATATAGCATAGACCATAAGGATAGTGAATAGGGTTTGAATATAACACCATTTTTCTAAAGTTGTTGACATTGAGGTATAGTCTCTAGTTAGTGATGTATTTGTAGTTAGTAGTGTATTTGTAATAACATTGCCCCAGCTGATGAAGGGGACATAATAGGATCTTCAGCTTCATGGTACAGAGTGAGTATAGTCTTTTATCCCTCTCATATCACATTTAAGTAAAAACAAGCCACATTTCTCTAGCTCTATGGCCTCTCCTGGAAAACACAATTTCCAACTCTGTAGAGGCAAGAGTGTGTCCTACCACATAAGAATCTTCATTATGGTCAAGTGTTGACACTTATTTCTGAATTTTTTAATCTAAGCTATCTTTTATTGTTTATTACAGTGAATATTTTAAAGAGTAATACATTTTCACTGAGAATTACTGATCATTTTGGAATTTGGGTATACTGTATAAAATGATAATAGAGCTTAGGAAGATGATTGCCAGCATCTAGCTTAATGCAGGGCATACAATGAATATGTTTTTAACTAGATAGTTGAGATAAAACAGAAAAAAATCAACAACAGGATACACATGGCACATTTTCTCTAATTAAACAATGAATAATATTGACCAGAAATTTCAAGTAAAAAAAACATTTCAATCAGAAGCATATTAAGTCTAACAAAGATAAATCATTGAATTCCAAATCAACTGGGATTTTTGTGATTATCTTCTCTCTCCTGGTTCATTCTTACTACCAATACTACTAAGTGTATTTTACTACAAATACTGCAAAGTATATGTATACATTATTGAGAAGTAATTTTTGAGCCATCTGTAAGGATTGCCTACCCTTTTAATGCTAATCAATGAAAAAAGATACATCAAACTGTAATTTCAAGGTAGATAGTTAAGTGAATCCAAAGCTATTGCTTTTTAAAATGCTTATAATATTAAATGCCAAAGAAACAGGAAAGAATTAGCTCTTTTTTTATAGTTCTAATGGACCCACCCTATTTCTCTATATGTCCTTTACTATTTCCATGCCTCTTGACTTTTCATAATTTCTAAAAGCCACAACTTGTTATTCTAAACATATTTTGCTTTTTAACCTCTGTCGAGAACATCCTTTTAAAAAACTGTGGGCTATTTTTTAAGTCAATAATGAAAAAGTTTTTCTTCAGTAGATCAGGTATTAAAATGTCATTTGTATTGTCGACATTTTAACATTTAAGCATACAAAAATAAAGAGGGGATTTTTTGCTTTTTAGTCTTTACAATATTAGGATCATGTTTCACTTCTGTCTTTAAGAAAAAACATTAAAACTTCATGTACTAGTAAACTCTTTTTCCCACTAGCTGCCCTTACTCCTGAGTGAAGAGTAAGTATTTTATATAGCATGAAATAAACTGTTATATCTGATAGAAGTAATTTCTTGACACGAATGAATAATTATTTTCAAGGTCACTTGCTCCATTTAATTCTGAACACTATTATCTGAAATGATGTTAATAACCAGATCATGTAGGGCCGGGCCCATGGCTTACTCGGGAGAGTACGGTGCTAATAACACCAAGGCCACGGGTTTGGATCCTGTATAGGGATGGCCAGTTAGCTCACTGGCTGAGCGTGGTGCTGACAACACCAAGCCAAGGGTTAAGATCCCCTTACTGGTCATCTTTAAAAAAAATAATAACCAGATCATGTAATTATATATTGTTTTAGAATCATCATTAAAGTAACTATAAGGTTAAATATGCGAACTAGCTTATACCTGAAAACTAAGGATTTTTTCGTTGTTGTTTCTATTGTATTCAGAACTTTTAGAATTTATAAGAAGAGCTCATTGTACTTTGGATGGAAAATATTATAGTTCAGCCCATAATTGGTGAAATTCATGGGTTGTATTCTGGATGAAAGTGTCACCACTAGTGAAAATGGGCCAAGTCATTTTGGGTGTATATTAACTGTATTATAGGCAGTTTTAAGTACTCACTAATTCTTTCAGACCCGAAGATAGTATCCTTCTATTATGTAAGTCCACTAAGATTTAATTTCTTCTACAAGAGTGAAATTTATAAATGGCAAATCTGGTCAAATAAAAATGTTTATTGAACTTGTCGGTAGAACCTAATTCATTGTTGATTATGTGGAACCAGGAAAATAAGATGCAGTAACTTTCTGAATTAAACTGAAATGTAAATGAAAGAATAGTAGACCTGCAGCATAACCAGATCTAGATAACAGTGAGAAAATTTTTAGTATAGTTTCTTTCTTTGAAGGATCACTCTCATCCTTGTAAGAATAATTGTTTTACATAGTAATTATATGATTATCAGAGAAGAGGAAAATTTAGCTAAGAATCCCATTGTGTGGGAGCTGTAAGATTTTATTTGGGACATTTCTATGTCCCAGCCAAAGCCCCTAATAACAGTGGCTTGTTAATTTGGTTATAAATCTTTCTCTCATTTATCCATCAACTTCTGGGTAATCCCATATGATGAACAGTGACCTACTCCTTGGTCATATATTAGCTACTTTTTATAATAAAGACCCTTCCTGTAATAGGAGAAGCAAGCCAAGCTCTTCAAAGATGTTTTCATTTAACTACCATTAAGTTAAAACCCTTCCATCAGTCTACCATGCCCAACCTACCTCCCACATCTGGGCCCCAATTGCTAACATATAATCCATTTTAACACTTCATCCTTGCAAAATATCTAGCACTCACACACAGGACGGGAGTTGGGCAAAAGGGAGCTTAGGTAATATCATGTCTCCTTTTTTTCTGATTGTGTTAAAGCATGTCTTATTTTACTTTTCAGTTTGCTGCTAAATCCCATATCTTCCGCAGTTAATGTTATTTTATTTTTATGTATTTGGTTAAACAGGAAAACTGTGGTATGTCTGTGTGTAATGGTAAAATATATATCCTGGGTGGAAGACGAGAGAATGGAGAAGCCACAGACACTATTCTTTGTTATGATCCTGCGACAAGTATCATCACAGGGGTAGCTGCAATGCCCAGGCCAGTGTCCTATCATGGCTGTGTGACTATTCATAGATACAATGAGAAATGCTTTAAGCTCTAAAGCTGGGATACCTCACCCAAGAAGCCACATCAATCCAAGATGAGAGGTTTTAAAAACTCTGGAGTGGGAACTTGACATATCTCCTTTGTGCCATGAAAAAAATAGTATAAATAATAATTGTGGTGCCTTTCTCCCCAAAATATCAATCCTTCAAATTGTAATAAAGACTTTACTGTAATTGAAAACAATTTTTTTTTTGTTAAAGGTAATGGTGGTTGTTGCTAGGCCTTTGAGAGTGTACCTTTATAACTTTATAAGTATTTATATGAAGCCTATGTGGAATAGGAAATAATGCCTTTCTGTATACCTTTAAGAATTTGTGAATGGTCTCTTCATTTATGTATGTTTATCTACAAGACTGTATATTTCTTATTTCATCATATAATAGAAAATTGCATGACTTGAGGCTTCATTTAGTTTGAATCATCTAGTGCTTAGAATGTTTAGAATGAATTCTAAGGGAAACACTCAGTTTTTAAAATCTTTGTCACTGACAAAGTGTATCCAAACTGACTAACTTTATTGAAAGGCTTTTTTCCTATAATTGATAAAAATGTAATGACAGCAATATGAGTACCATAAAATACTGAATTATAGTGACTTCTTTCTCAGAATTGCTATCTTATATTAAACACATTTTGGGGAGCAGGTTAGGTAGGAGATACAAAAGTAAATACTCCTAAAAGGGGGATTAAAATTACAGGTTAATTACTAAGAAAAAACTAAATAACCATTGAAGGAAAAATGACCCACTGTGGCTCTCAAAGTATTTATGCATCATCTCTAAATCCTGTATGGAAACTCCTTTTCTTGAACTTGACACAGGGAGTTGGAATCCATTTTACATATTGTTTTGTGAAAAACAGAAGACAGGTTTTCTCCCCAGCCCAGTAAAGTTTGACCTCATTAGTATGGTGCTTTGGGTGAGGATCTCTTCCCTGGTTATTCTGCTTCCTTGTGAACAGCTAAAAATCCTGAGAGTCTCAACCGTAAAGGTGCCTTTAATAGGGTAAAGCAGGGACCACCTATGTCAGTGGGTCCATTTTTCTTTTGAAATTAGCTGTCTGAAAAAACTAACAGCAATAGTTCCAGTCTCTTAAGATATAAATCTTTCATTTGGTACCTATTGTGTAAAATATTGATCAACATCTTCAAACTTCTAAATGCAGCAGACTGCTTTTGTCTAGATTTTTCAAGTCCAGTTTATAAATCTTACCAGTTTTCAGAGAAGAATGTAAAAATTATTTTCTAAGGCAAATAAATGGATAAGTCAGGAACTACAGCATAAGTGATTATAATTCCTGGATAGACAGATACAATTTACCACATTTTAGGGATGTTCCAGGTAACCTGCTGTATTTTGACTTCCCAGTCACTATTGCTTCTCACATTATAATTGTTTACTGTATGTCATAGGAGGGATGATACAAATATGTGATTATCATGTCACCAGATTTCTGTTAAAACCAAGGTGGTAATCAAAAACCTGACATTGGTAAACTACCTTTTTTTCTCATCTTAGAATGATAGAGAGATTTCAAATAGACATATTTGAAACTTTAATGCTTTTAATGCTTACCTAGAACCTAAGTTCTGAGGAAAACTCTAAAAAAAACTTACAAACTTTTAGGGAATTTTTATTTTTCAAATCATAATTTGAAACTGATATATACCTTTTTGTGATAACTATCAGACCAATTCAGAAAACAATTTTCTATTGTTCTAGTTGAAAGACAATTGTAGGTACAATGGGATGCTTGTACTTTTAGAATGAACATCTACTTCTATATTATCTGTTTTGTAGATAATAGAACCTGTTCAGAAATTCTTTACAGTAAATGAGATAATGTGTGAAAAAAGTGTTCTGTAAATGCTGAGGACTATACAAATGATAGTTGTTATTTTCCTGTGTATTTGTTAAGATCATGCCCATCCATAAATACAGAGACTTTACATAAAAAAGACTTTTTCAAGATAACTTCATATTCTATTATTTTTGTCTGTTGTAAAAGTATTAACTATTTACCTGTATTTTTTTGTTATACTTTTTTTTTCTTTTTTTTTTTTTTTCCTTGGTGGTAGCTGGTAGGTACATGAATCATGAAACCCTGGACCTTGGTGTTATCGGCACCGTGCTCTAACCAATTGAGCTAACCAGCCAGCCCCTTGTTATACGTTTATTTTTAATATTCATGTGTTTATTGTGGTAAATTTAAATGAAATCCTAAAAAACAGAATTTGTTTAAACACAGACCTCATATCAATATTGTTTAATTTTTTCTTTACATGGTCCTAAACTATGTAAATTAAGTGGTTGCAATTTATGTTGAAGGCCACCAAGAACTTAGCTTGAATCCTAGAAAATTAAGGTAACTGTGTTTAGTTACCCAACTGGTATTTTAATTTTCTTTAATTATTTACCTTCCTTGACTAATTTTTTATAGATAATGATGTTGTTAGCCTTGATAAAATAAAAAAGAACTTTAGGATATAATTAGTATACCAAAAGGAATATATCAACCAAACTGGTGTCAGATCATATTCATTCTGTCATCACATCGTTGACAGATTTTCCTTTACAGATGATGCTCTTATAAGCCTTTGGGTTAGAATGTATGTACATATACACACGTGTGTATATGTAGATAGTATGGTTGTGTACCCCATGTATACAAACATCAAGAATTTTAGCAGTTTGTGATGATCAGGAAAAAAACACATAAGGTAAAAATTAGTTGACCACATTAAATTCAAATCCAGAAGATTTTCTTATTTGGGCATTTCTAGAGTACTTTTTTACATTTGAAAATACATGATAAGTATTTGTAATGATGATTGGTATACAGTCAGAATCTACATAACACATCAGTTTTACAAAGTCAGAAAACAAATTGGAGGTAGAGATGAGTTTTCTAAACCCAGCTGTGATACCTCATTTGGAAAGGGAATTCAGAGGTATGCTTTGTGGATCTACTGAAAAGTATAGTTGGTTTTTGTTTGGGTTGGTTTTTTCTTCATGAACTTTTATCTTTTTCCATGTTTTCCTTTATATGAGTGAGCTACAAAGTGTTCTAATTTTTACAACAGAAGAACTTCCTCCTTTAATCTTCCTGCACTTCCTAAACTTCCTTCTAAACTTTACTGCAAAGGTATGAAATGGTAGCCTATCCTATTGGATCTTTAATATCTTTTTTTTCTGGATGACTGAAATATAGTTATTTACTCCATTTAAACCAGGTGTTAAGAAAAGATGTAAATACTCAGGGAGGGAGGATATTAACTTGTCATTTTTGCCTATTTGAAATGTTTAAAGTGCCATAACTGAACAACCTTCAGTTCATGATTCTAGAGTAAACTTAATTTGGAAAAAGGGCTTCACAAACATGGCAGTGCTTGAACATTCATCCTTTTATATTTAGAAAGATGAAAATGTTTTGTGGACTGAAACCATTTTCTCATAGTGAGTATCAATTGTTTATGTATCTCTACTGTCAAATACCCTTTTTGAAACTCAGGAAAGACAAAGGTTCAATTATATTGCTTTTGTCATTATGCAATCCAGGTGTGTGTGTTTTTTTCCTGTTGTCTGGATGTGGCAATAGATTTTTTTTAAAAAATTGCTGTGAGAACCCATACATGAAAGGAGAAGGGTTGAATTGTTAGTGTGTGCCTTATATGTGGAAAAGACAACATCTACTTCGGACTATATTTTCAAAGAGGAAGAGATTGCTATTTATGTGGTGCCAAGTGATTCGATAATGTCTCTTAAAGGCTTCCTATGGATTGCCTTTATTTTAGTAAATCCAAGACACCAGTTAACCTCAACATAATTTGGCCTTATTAGAATTTGTTGTGCATTATGTTGAAAGCCAGGTTTACATCACCTCAACCCCCTTATTCTTTTTAGTTAAATAAATCTACCATACCACGTAACCAGAATAGGACAATTTGGTTGACCTTTAATGCAGTAGATTTGACTAGGTAGCTGTACTTATTGTCACATCTAATGCTAGGAACCAGAAACCACTTGATCCAGGAGTGTGAATTGATAAGTCCAGAGATGATTTCAACATACTTTGGACTTTTTTAATGTTTTATATGAATGTTTTATGTTTGTGTGATTGCCTTAGGTATTAAGTTTACTTAGTGCTAAAGATGATCATCATAAATATTTTTTTTAAAACAGCAACAGTCATAACTTATTTTATATATTGTTCCAAAGAAAAGAATTTCTGTTTTAAAGTTTTCAAAATAACTGCACCTAAATTTGTTTTTGTGCCTTAAGTTTTCTAGTGCTATTTCAACTTTTTTTCAATCTAAATAAAACTTATCTTAGATAAGTTTTATATTTGTTTCCTATAGAGTAAAAAAATTTCCCCTTAAAATTTTTACTGAGCACCAGCCGTGTAATTGCTTGGCAGAATGAGAATGTTAAGGGAGGTTGTTGGGTGTTTGGGGTTTTCTTATATTTTTTGTTTTTGTTTTTTGAACCTAGGTGCTTTTTAAGATATTCAGACAAACGTCTATCTTACATTGATTATACCCTTGTAAACATCATTTGCAGTATCTACATCTAAAAAAGTATATCTACTTATGTTCGTTCCATTCTTACGTTCTATTTTTTTTTATTTAACTTTCTTGAAAAAGCACTTAACTCTTCCTTTCCCCATCACCCCTCCCCACAATTTCTTTATTTAAATTTTTGTTGAGAGTTTCCACAGCTATCTAAGACAACACAATTTTAGAGTTGAACAAAAGTATAATCAGCTTTACAACAGTACCTGTGAAGGCCAAATGTCATTTGCTTTCAGTTAGAGGCTCCAGAGTCTTCACGGTGGAAAAATTATTTCATTGTTCTCAATTCAATTGTAGTACATTAATACTTATATGTTTTGTTTAAATATACTTCTTGCGTAGTTTAATTTTTTTAAAGTTGTATCTAATAAAATGTCTTTTAACCATTATTACTTGACTATATGGTTGTATTAAATTTTGTTTACCAAAAATTTGTTGTTCTGTTTTATTTTAAATATATCCAAGTGGTTGTACAAAAAGTGGATAGAGGAAAATATATATTAATATATTTGTGTATTTACTGGTTTGTGCATAAAATAACTGGAAGGATAAACAAGAAACTAAAAACAGTAGCATGTATGAAGAAAGGAAATGGTGGCTAAGGGACAAGTAAAAAGGAACTTTATACATATATATATATATACACACACACACACATAATTAATATATAAAAATATATATAAAATCAATTTTTTAGTCTGAACCACATGAAAGTATTACCTATTCAGAAAAAATTTTAATTACCGGAAGGTAATTCATAACATTTGCACCCTAATGTGCTTTTGATCTGGTTCTCAAAAGCACCTCTATAACAATATTGAGCATAAGGGGACTTAAGAAAATTTATTGCAAATAAATGTGAAAATAGAGAGAGGGCATCATATTATTTATTGGAGAGGCAATGTCTTAATTTGCTTTAACAAAAGCAAATTTTTAAAAATATATAAAAAGCACATGTAAATGCTTAGCTTTTTATGCTTAGAGTTGTTCCATCCAAAATAAAGTGGCAAGTTAGAGTACTTTTTGATTAGTTAATGTTAAAGTTATTTTCACCTGATTTAATTTTTTCTTGCGTAGGAAAATCTGTAAAGTGCATGGGCTTCATCAGACCTGATTCCAACCAGTGCTCTGCCATAGAGCCATTTACCTCTCTGAGCCTGACTTTCCTTGTTCTAGGAAATGCAACCATAATACTCACCTTGCAGTCTTCTTGTAAGGCGATGAGAAAACGCAATATATGTTGAAGAGCAAACAATTCTGGCATGGAAGAGCAGCACATAAATGTTGGTTCTTCATGTAGCTGGTTCAGGACAAAAATATAATGTGCAAAAGCAGGGAAAGAATTGCAGGAATTAAAAGTATTAGCTCATATTTGGAAACCATGAACAATGGATAAATAGGAGGCCCTTGTACTATAAATTGTCTCTTTAAAAAATCACTTGCAAAGAAAAAAATAGGGGAAAAAAAAAGGAAAATAAATCAGTTGCTCTGTTAATGGAACGAGAGGGGGAAATGACCTATACCTACCTCCTCCTTCTCTGCTATTTATTAACTGGTAATGAAGACAAAAATCAGAAGGGGTGGTTTCTTCCTAATTATGTTGGGATGTTTTTGAAGACTAGAACTAAGTCTTGTTGTATTAATCGTATTTTTTATTTTCTATATTTTATGATGTTTTGACATCTTTGCGGGTCCTTGCTGGCTAGGGAAAGACTGCCCCTCTCAGGGCTAGCTAATTCCCAGAGACAACAGTAAACAATGAGTCATCAAGCCTGCCTTTCGTGTACAAACCAACAAATCCAAAGTTCATACCTCCATCCACCTCTTTATCTAATTCTCACACACCAAGCCAATATCTCCCCTGCCCTAACTAAGCCCAGGGCCAGATACCAGACAGCTAGAGACAGCTCTTATGCCCCAAAGTCTGCCAGAATTATTCAAAATAGCCAATTGTAAGCTGTTGCCCTGCTTTGCTTTGCCTTCCTGAAGAAACCCCAGTAAAAGCTGCTGCCTATGCTTTCCCCTTGCTCCTTTCTTTCTCCTAGCCAACAATGCTTCTTCCGCCTGTGACCCTGTATGGCCATGCCTGTCATTTGCAGGGGAACTGTGAATAACAAACGTTTTTTTCCAATGGCATTGACCACATCATCATTCAGTGACCTTTCTAAATTAAGACTCAGACACAAATCACTTGTTCATTTTTGTATTCTAATACTATGTTTGGCACAGAGGTGCTTAATGTTTTAGTAAATAAAAGCACTAATTCTGATTTTTATATTTATTATGGCAAGGCCTGTTAAAAATAGACCTTAAAACAGAATGTTTGAGACACTGTTGCATAAACATAATAGACCATACTTAACATACTATAACCAAAGTGCTAAAGAGGAATTTGTCCAAAGA